GATAACTTTTGGGAAGGGTACTTTGGAGATTTCACAAAGGCTAGATGAATCATACTCACAATTCCCGTGCGTGGGAGCAACGCACTCCCTATCTTAGATTTTAGGACCAACGGTGCAACGTTTTAAATTTGTTCAGGGATATTAGATGCATTTTTTAATGTTCAGTGGTAAATTATGCAATTTCTAAAAAATTCAGAGATAAACTATGTAATTTTTAAAAAGTTCAGGGATAAACAGTGCACTTTTTCGTTCTTATATATACACGGATCAGAGTATGTTGAGTTGCATGCTTGGATTGTTGTTTGTGTTGGTTTACCTAACATGAAAGAATTGAAGATCAAGCTATATAGCTAATTATTTTAATTAATTAGTTAAGATACCACAAAACAAGCTTCATGTGTATGTCTTTAACCATTGTCATCATCATTAATTATCATTATATACACGTCCTCTCTCATTTAATTATTCACTTTATATTCAGATTAAGTTAATGCAATGATATAGTCCACGAGTTTAAAAATTTGTTTTTTTATTTTATCTAGGTACGTACACTTCGGTTGAAATGAATTTAATTAAATAAATAAAAACATGAAATGGGAACACACTAATTTGGAAGTGAAAGTGAGGGACAATTATATTATTATTCTAATTAATTATTATATTTATGGACATTATTATATTATTGTTCAAAGGTGTAATGGCATACGAGTGTTAGCACATGTAGCAGCATCATGCATTATCATATCCCAGCTGGTCATTACATGCTCATGTATGTCTCATCATGCTTTTCTTTCTTTCTTATTATTCTTTGATATTATAATATATGCAAAAATGAGATTTTCTTTTTATAATTAAAATTTTTTTGAATTTTGGGATATTTGATTGGTATTAAGTGATCGATCAACATTATTTGGACATAAATATCAATGAAGCTTAATGAAGATTTTGACTATTATTTGACGCACACCTATTCTCTTAAGTCAGACAAACCTTTTTATAAATTATACGCCAAAAATGGTAAACAACTGAATGAAATATTAATTCTGAATGTTGGCCCGTTGATTAAAAAATGGTTTGACTTTATGTGGGATTTTGTCCAACATTTGAAGCTCACCAAGGAGAAAATCCACATGAGACATCAGAAGGATCCCGAGGCCTTGTTTGGATGTTGGCTGTCAGCTGTTGGCTGTTCGTGTCAGCTGTTGTGTATGGTTGTTTAGTTTAGCTGGTTTGACCGGCTGGATGAATTGGCTGATCGTTAAAAATGTTTTGTAAAATTAGCTCTTTGAAAATAGTTTTTCCTATATGTATATAGACACACAAGATATTTATTTTTCATTTTTTACATGTAAAAATTAAATCTTTACTATATGGAGTATTCAATTTGAATTCAATTTAATTCATAAGAAATTATTAATATACAACTTTTTAATGATTTTTACTTTTATTTTCTCATTTCATTTTTTTGAAATTTTTAAATTTTAAATTTTATTTTTTTAGTAGTTAATTTTTTTAGATTTTATTTTTAATTTTTACATGTATTATAAAATATCTTTCAACAAATGATTTTAAAAAAATTAGTTTTCCTAACAGCCAAGTCCAAATAATGCTACTCCACTTGGCATTTCAAATTTTGGGTTTTCGGATCAAAATGCCAAGTGAAAAAGCCATTAGCACCAAACAATGATTTTAGTTGTTCGCTTAGTCAAAAAAGTTAAAGTCTTTCAAAGATGTCAAAAACTATCTTAAAAATTGTTTTTTCCAAACACGGCCCATATCTTATATAGACCTTGAGCTCCTTGTCTCGGAGTCTCAGCTCTAAATTTGAGACCCCAGAAGGATCGCGTGATCTTAACCCTCAAGTTATAACTCAATCTCTTAAGCCCAACAATAAGCCCAAAATACGTATATATTATGAGACAAATTAAAGCAAGATAGCCACGTGACCATTTAAATATAATAACACGACTAGATACGAAATGGTGTAAAATTTGAACCATCTCGACTCGTGCCACCTTTGATCGTTGTTAGAAAGTACTCCCCGCGTCCCAAAAACAAGGTGGTGTTTCATTTCGCGTGTATCCCAAAAAATACATCTACCTACATCTAAAATGTCTAAAAATTACCACATTTACCCTTTATTGTAGGTAGAAGTTGTTCTGAACATTTTTTTGGCATTTGAGACGATATAGAAGTGTTTTACGGGATGCGTAAAAAATGAAACATAACCTTTTTTGGGATGGAAGATGTACTTGACTCAGACTCATAGATGACGTGAGATTAGCCACACCCATGTAAACACTAAGTTTATTAATTATTTGAATAAGAGGTAAAACTATTGAATTTCTATGGTGGATATATTTTAGATTGAACTTTATTGAACAGGTAAAACTAATATTAAAAAATTATAGTATAAAAAAGTAAATACAAACAAGGTTTTTCAAAAAGAAAATTAAAACAAAAGCATTCAACAAAGAGCATCGATCTAACTTTCTTCATCACTCTTTTCAACACTTCCTCGATCATGATCTTTAACAACTGGAAGTTATTGCCAGCCTATATACGCCCATGACCCATCTTTCTACCCTTCATTTTCATAGTGTATTTACAAAGAAACTTTAACTGGTGGATGCTACGCAGTTAGCAAAAGCAAAAAGTACCAAAAAGAAAGCCCGATCGAGTTCGATTTCTGGCAACTCTACTAGGTGTATGCTCCCTCACCGACCCCCTGGCCAGGTCTGAGAGACTCTCGGGATGGAGCTCATCTTTTACAAAGAAACTTTTGTGTTTGAGTGTAAGTATAAAATTCGATCTTGTGTTAGAGAATAAAATCTTTTTGGGCTTGAATTTTTTATGGAGTTGGTCTCTTGATATGATATCAAAGTCTTTTTTTATCAAGAAGTCACGAGTTCGATCTCAGTTTCACCCAATTTATATATATATATATATATATATATATATATATATATATATATATATATATATATATATATATATATATATATATATATATAGTTAAAGCTTGAGTAAAAAACAAATTTCGCCTACACGTGAAGAACCGTGTAGTGTTAGAGTATAATCATAAAAAATTTTTAAGGTCTACAACTATAAGTTTGAGTTTTAGATTGAATTTGGTTTCATGACATTTTTCACTTTTGTGATAGGGAGTAATATAGAAATATTTGATCAATACAAACTGTATATGTTTTATTTTTTCATAAAAAATAGAAAAATCTGTAGTAATTAAATAGGAAAACATCAACCGGATCAAATCCTACAGAGTAACATATTGGCCTTGTTTGGAAGATGGTTGGTGGCAACTTTGTGTTGGTTGGTTTGAATGACTAATGGAGTTAGATGTTTTGACCATCTTATTATTTTAGATCGAGTTTAATTAGGATAAAGAGATAAGGTAAGAAGCTAAGTTAAGAAATTTCTACCTTCGTCGAGAGTATTTGTGTAATTTTAATTTTTTGCAGTTAATTATTTTCAATACTTAATCTATAATTGAATATATACTATATGTTTTTAATTAATTAGATAAAGTAATATTTTAAAAATATTTTATAAAATAAATTTAAAAAAATTATTTTGTATCAATATCTAATATTACTTTTATTTAATTTGAGGTTAAAGTTTATAAATTCTAACTGAAAAAATTAAAAGAAGACAAATACTTAGGGAAAGAAGTGATTACCAAAATAAGAACAAAATAAACATTTTTTACTACTTAAATAATATTTATTTTTTTAAATAAAAAAATAAAAAAAGATTTTTTTATGTGAGAATGTCTAAAAATTTGTTATGCACCTAAGGTGCACCAAAGAAGCACTCGTCCTCAAAAGGCCTAAACTATTATATTATTCTCGGTAATTTTTGCTTGACCCAATCAAGATTGGATTATATGTCATCACGCATCGATGTCAAACCGAAACCTTAGCTTGTCCATTCAGGCATGTAGTATCTGTTCGATCATAATAATGGAAGAAACATCACAGTATATATAGAAGAGATTCCTAGCATGCTCAAGAATCAAATATAAAACTTAACTAAAATATAAATTTTACCATAATTAATATTGATTATTCTTAATTGCCTAACAGATACGTGTATCATATTATGACATTATACAATAATAATTTAAAATGTGGGATAATAATAGAGTTTATTGCACCAATACCCCGTGTGGTTTGGTAAATGTGTACCGCTATCTTTCATGGTCTTAAAACTTACGTCGTATCCCTAATGGTTTCGATATTACTAATAAGCCAATGTCTCTCTAGACAAAAATACCTTTCAAATATTAAGTGAATATATCTATTACTCCCTATGGTTTAAGAAATGGATACCAATGCCTCCTCTCATTTTTCTTTATTGTTTTCCTTTTTTTCTTGTTTTCATAAAGAGAATTTTTTTAGTATTAAAACATTATAAAAATAATTTTATCATTAAAACATTATAAAAAAATAATTTTTAAAAATAAATTAAAAAGTATTTATGAAAAACATAGAAGAAAAGAGAAAACCATAAAGAAAAAATGAGAGGGGCGTTGGCGTCCATTTCCAAAAACATAGTTGGCAACGGAGCTATTCACCTAATATTTGAGAGATACTTTAGTCTAGAGAGGCATTGGTGTGACAATATCAGAATCATGGAAGACAACAACGTAATTTTTGAAACCATGAGTTAACGGTGCACATTAACCAAATCATAGAAGCTATTAGTGCAATAAGTCGATAATAATATGATACTTCCTCCGTCCATGTATGATCTTCCCATTACGCGTTACGAGGCTTGACCGACTTTATTTTCAATTCAATTTAATTGATTATGGGAGTAAAATTTTAAAATAAAATTTATGTAGTAATAAACTACATAAAAAGTTCTACAAAACTAGAAGTGACAAGACTATTATTTTATGAAATGACTAGTAAAATTGAGCAAACAAAGTGAGTAAAGTTTAACCATGTGAATAGTGTCTGGGAAGATCTATGGTGGACAGAAGGAGTAATATATAATGAAGTCAATAAATTTTTTTTAAAAATATGTGTAATTAGATCTATAGTAAATTACCGAGCTCTTCTTCTTCTTCATCAAAAAGGAAAAATAAAAAAAGCAAATAACGAACCGCATCTACCTTTCTTCATCTTCTTCAGCTCTCCTCCTTTTCCACACTTCTCCCATTTTTTAATGTAGAAAGAACGCATTTTTAGGTATCTGTCTTGCCTTTGCAGTTTCATGTCTACTTTTTTTTTAATGTATATACATACTTTAATTAAATACGGAACAGCTGAATCGGATCACACGTCTCAATTCATTCATCAAATAATTCATTCGATCATTTATTAAATATAAATATTACAGATAAAAAAAATAAGAAACATGTTCACTACATACATGATGATCATCAAAACAGAGCCAAATTGATTGAATATGTAGAAATTTACTGATCGTGGAAATTAAAAATTCCCCCCTTTTCTTTCTTTCTTTCTTTCTTTGGATTCTTTAATTTACAGCGCACGAGTTCTCTTGTTGGAAGAATCAAGATTGGGATGATGATGATGATGGTGATGATGAACAAGAAGGAAGAAAGATTGGATGTCTTCTCCGCCGTCGATCTCGAAGAATTTGAGCTTTCTCTTGCAGGGGGGCGCCGCCCTTCTCTGCTTCTTCGGCGCCGGCGGGCAGTCGGTCGTCTTCGGGATCGAATTCCGGGGAGAATTCGGCGTCCGGCACAATTCCTCTTCTCCTCCTCGATCGCCGCCGGTAACACCGCCGCACTTCCGATCCTCCTCCGCCCGAATTTGCTCCGAGGACTGCACTCCCGTTCTGAATTCTTGATTCCCCGGCGAGACTTGGCAGGATTCTTGATTCCCCGGCGGAGCTTGGCTGGGTTCTCGATTTCCCGTGGAAACAGGGCTGGGTTCTCGATTTCCCGGCGAGACAGTGCTGGGTTCGGGAATTCCCGGCGAGACTTGGGTGGATTCTTGGGTTTCCGGCGAGAGTTGCCGGAGGTCTAGATCTACGGACATGGCGGTTTGCCGGAGGGGGTGGCGGAGGAGAGAAGGAGATCGGTAAGAACGTGTTTGGGTGAATATAAAAATAGTAATAGAAGCATAGCATATGCGGTGTATATAGGCGGCCGAGTGGAAAAAGGAGGGAATTTAGAGAGAGAGAGAGAGAGGCGTGCATATGAAGGAAAAACAGTGAAGAGGGGTAGTTTGGGGATTTGGTATTAGAGACAACTTTGTGTTTTCTGTTTTGGAAGTCAAAAAAAAAAAAAGAAAATCTAAAATTATTTTTTGTTTTCTTTTGTTTGTTTTCAAATTTTGTAAATAGTTTTGCAATTGGAAATTGCTGTTTCGTTTGGTGAAACTCATAATAATGATGAGACTTGTTGATTAATCTAATTCTGTAATTATTGAACCTGTAATTTGAAATGTGCTAAATTATTAATCTAAAATTATTGTCATTATGCCTAGTAAAACTATTCACTCCCACCTATAACATTGGCGTGCATAAATCCTACGGAGTACTCCCTCTGTCCCATTTTATAACGCCTGTTTCGGTTTACGATGTTTGACTGAAGTTATTTTCAAATCATTTTATATGACAAATGATATAAAATTAAAAAAATAAAAATTACATATCAAAATACAACATCAAAAGATCTACAAAACTAGTAGTGACAACAATATTTTATTTTATCAAATTGCTAACAAAAATAGAGAAAGAAAGTGAATGAAGTTTGACTCTGTGAATAGTGAACAGACATTATAATTTGGGACGGAGGGAGTATTTTTTTTATCAAATTTTAATTTATTAGGTGTGTTGTTATGGTTAGGCAAGTAAGTGGTAATGGGCATGACACCCCGCGGCGTTAAGATCCTTTTGACGCAGGGGCGTTAAGAAACCGCTCCCTCCCCTGTTATGATCCTGTTAAAGTTGCTTTGTCAAACTTTTGACACAGCTTGAAGGCTGAAATGACCGTTGGAATCCCGTCCCCCCACAACAGCTATAATACCGTTACAAATAAAAAAAATTCTTTTTAATTTCTCTCTCTTTTTTCCTCTTTCCTTATCTATAAATCTAATCAAAATTTTTTAGAATTCAACACAAATACGAATCTCTTTCTATCTATCATCTTTCTTTTGCTCGTGAAGGTACGAGCAAAAACAAATCTCAGCTCGTATTCTCGTGAAGGGTGTGGTAGAATATAAAAACTTTTTTGTACCACAACCTACAAGTTTTAGCTTTTAGTTAAATCAATATTTTGACAATATGTCACATCTTTTATCTTGTTCTCTCCCCGTCCCAACTTAAATTGTCTACTTTTGCTATTTATGAGGTTTGACTGAAATTATTTTCAATTCATTTCATTTGAAAATTGGTGTGAAATTAAAAAATAAAATTTATATATTTAAAAACTACATAAAAAATTCTACAAATTAGAGGTGACAATGTGACATGATTATATTATTTTATCAAATGAGTAGTGAAAATAGGTATGGAGAGCAATTAAAATTTGACCTTATGAATAATGAATCAGTAACTTAAATTAGAATGAAAGGAGTAGTTCCTTGGTCTCCCTACTTTAATTTTGAGACCTTAATGAAATGACACAGAAATTAGGAAATTTAAGTTTGTATAATTTAAGAATTCTCATATCTTTTTTATGTCTTTATTCTTATTACATCTCCAACTCTCAATTTTCTTGAGAATAATAGTATAACAAAAATTAGAAATTGAAAACTTAATTTGATGAAAGACCTAATTTATAAAGACAAACTAGAAGAAATGTAATTAGGGCATGAGAATCAGGGCATGACAATTGTGTATGTAGTAATTATACATACAAGACTAGGAGGTTAAGAACGAAAGAAATGTGTTATCTCAACAAATTAGAAATCTTAAGATTAATTCCTAAATTGGTTCTTTGCAATGAGCAGTAAGTTTTCCCAATTCAATCTTTAATAATAAATTTTAATTACGTACGTGGTCCTCTATAATTGAGATTTATTCCCTAAATAGTTCTCTGTATATAATGTTACTCAAATGATGATTAATTAGAGGTATTTTGATATTTCTATCATCGAAATGCTCATTTCTGTACAACTAAATGTAAAATTAAAAAATACATTGACTATATACATAATCCACGATGTACTAAAAATTTATTAAAAAATATTTTAAATTTCAAATCAAATACACATCTTTAATTAGAAAAAACCATTTTAGAAGCAATTCATTAGAACCTCAATTACAGAGGACCACGTAAGTAATTAAAATTTATTGAGGACAAATTCGGGAAAACACCTTATTAGAGACGATCATTTTGGGAATTTACTCAAGTCTAAATTATGTTTGGAGTTGTGTTATTGTGATCTTTAGATCCACATGTAAAATGATCATTTTAAAAACTTATTAGAAATGATCATTTTAAAAACTTATTCTAAACTTAGCGGATAAAAATACCAAAAAAACCCCTAATTAATCATCATATCATTTGAGTAACATTATTTACAAAGGACTATCTTAAGAATAAATCTCAATTATAGAGGACCACGTAGGTAATTAAAACTTTTTTAGTACAGATTCAGAAAAACACCTTATTAGAGAGGATCATTTTGAAAATTTACTTAATTAAGTCTTAATTATGTTTGGAGTTGTGCTATTGTGATTCTTATATCCACATGTAAAATGTGGACCTTCTCACCTATTTTCATTAGGTTGAGACTTGTATCTCGTTAATTTTACAAGGCCCATCGCATAAAATTATTTTATGTGTGAATGTTCATACAATGAGAATGGACCTAATTAAGAACAATAGAAGGATCTGCCTTATATGTGTTTAAAGACCATTTCTAAAATAATTTTTTTGTAAGGATGCCTTAAACCTTTATTTACAGTCGTTTATTTTATATAGACTAAAAACATATATTTAACTCGAGTAAATTCCATAATTGGTCCTTTATAATAGGGGGGTTTCCATATTTAGTCCTCTATTATCAAATATTATCCCCGTAGTCCTTTTTTTAAGGGTACCTCTCCACAAATGGTCCTTTTTTTGATCTTCTGTCGTGTTGGTGTTAATTTAAATGCTAAAAGTATAATTTGATATCAACATTATGTTTAGTGACGTGTTCTGATATTGGTTAAGCGGATAACACAAAAAGAATGACTATGGTTGTGGGCTAGCGTTCTGACGAAAGACCACATTTGTAGATTATGGTTGTAGTAGAAAGTAACTATAATTCACAAACGACGCAAACGGAACAGCCTTTGAAATTGTGCATGACAAAAAAGATATATTATCATTGTGAAATTACACTTTTAGCTCTCAAATTAACAACAACATGATTGAAGATCAAAAAAGGACTATTTGTGAAAAGATACCCATAAAAGAAGGACCACTTGGATAATATTTGATAATAGAGGACTAATTAGAGATACCCCTGTTATAAAGGACCAATTATAGAATTTACTCATTTAACTCTTAAATATATAAATCTCTCATATTTACGTAGTACTCGTTACTTTCTAATTCTACATGTACATTCAAATAATTTGAATTAACTCTTGCAAAACATCTTTAAAAGATTTATAAGTGGACTATAATTTATTAATGTTTCGTTTGGTATTGGCGTTAGGAGTTAGCGTTAGTATTTTAAAAAGGTTACTTGACATTAACGAATGCTTTTTCAGAATTAATTAACACTATTAAAATTTTATCCAAAAAAACGCTAATTGGAATGTATATTTCTCCGTATATGTCAATTCCATATGCTAAAACTGTGCTCACATGTAGTGTTATAATAACTTTACGATTATTGTCTATTAAGGCTAGCTGCCATGTGATATGATGTTAATCCATCCCCATCACCTTTAATTTAGAAACTAATTTTAAAATGTGAAATTTGCACTGAATAGGACTAAAACATAAGTCATTTCTCAGTGTAGGACTTACACTTTTTTATTCTCTAAATAGGACTTAATAATGACTAGTGAGATAAATAATGTCCAAATGATGCTAGACATTTAGTTGAATAATGACTAATAGATAATGACCAATGGTCCTATATTGAAAAATAAAAACATATGATTCTATATGGAGAAAGTCATTATGTTTTAGTCTTGTTTAGGTAAATTACCCTTTTAAATTAACTTTGATGTTTGGACTAATTATCAAACATTCAACATTACTTTAATTTGTCTTTAATGACACGGAAACTTTTGAGTTTTCAGGGAAAAAAATTATTTATTTGGGGATGGGAAAAAGTATATCTTTATTTAACACTTTCCAAATTTTCACTATAATATTAATTCCTTTTAAGAAACCAAACAACACTACTTACAGGTGGACATGGGTCGGGTGGCCCTATATTTAGTGGTTGGGACCACTACTCGTTGGTCCCAATCTCGGCATGTTAAAACAAGCCGGGACAATTTATGACATGATATTGTCTTACTTTGTCTCAATTATTTTGGAACAGATCGGATGACTCAAAACCGTTGTATTTTAAAAATTTTGTGGTGTGTGTGTGCGCGCATGCGCGCTTGTGAGGGAAAAATATGTCGAATATATGTTGATTTAATTTAGAACATTCCTGTCACATCCTGGAGTTACCCCTCGGTGAAGAAGTTGCGGTCTACGTGAAGAAAAAAAATTTTAAACGTCAAATTATAGAAATCCTAACATCCAGAAGTTGAACGTGAGCTGAACGGTGGGATTACAACCATGTTTGTCCTTGCGATCTCGGTGGAGATGTGATAGCAAAAACATATATGTACAATATGGTACGGATTAAAAATTCTAGATTAGAGATTTTGTCATAACTATTCAGAGAAGTGTATCTCATCATATTATTATATACCAGTATCATCTGCATCTAGTAATTTAGTGGAGAGCTATTACACGAACGCGGGTCTCTAGAGTAGAAGAGTTTCTCTAAACTCTTAAGCATATTCGGTGTTGTTTTTTACGTTTTCTTATATTTACAGCACTCTGCCTATTAAGTCATGTAGCATCCTCTACGTCATCAGATCAGCTTCTCCGTGTGTGCGAATAATCAAAACCTAAATCTGTTTTCATATCGACACGTGACTTTAATTA